AGTACCCATATACAAGTTCATGAGTAATTAACACAAGATTTTGTTCATCGAGACTATTCAGTCATCATTTGTCGCTAAAAATTATAATTATATGCAACAACCTATTGATGTTAAGAATCTCTGTATAATTCTTAACATGGATGGTACATCCCACCCTGAATTTACATCCCACAATTATTCTCTTAATTATTGTAAACCATGAATCAAATTGTTCATCATTTCAAATGACGAGTAACATAAATTTTAAGCGACAAAATTAGTGTGGCATTCTAAAACTATAAGCCAAACGGTATACAGAAGCCAATAGGGGTCCCAAACTTCATATCCTAAAAAATATTTATATGAAGACTAAGGTAGGGATGACAAAATGGCTCGCAGGCTCGAGCCGCTCATGACTGTTCTCGTGGCTCGGGCTGAGCCCCATTTTGGGGCAAAGGCTCGAGTAGGCCCGTGTCTCAACCAAGTTTTAAAAAAAATTGAAAAAAAATAAAATCATTTAGCTGCCGTGTCGCAGGCAGCTGTCACGCCAGCAGCTATGACAGTTGCCTGCGTTTGCAGGTAGCTATGTTTAAATATTAAAAAAAAGGAAAGAATCGAGACAGCTCGACTCGTAAAGACTTGAATCGAAAGCTATGGTCGAGCCTAAAATTTTTGGCTGAACAAAAGCTCGGCTCGGCTCGAACAAAAAAAACTCGAACCAATTTTACTCGAGTCGAGCTCGAGTTTTGAGTTTCGACTCGTGACTCAGCTCCACTCGACTCGTTGACACCCCTAGACTAAGGCAACAAAAGTTTAATTACTTAATATCTTTTAAAGAAAAAAAAGTTCACACATTTTCAAAAATCATCGTACCTTTCTCCTCCATTCAAGATTCTTCTTCTTTATTTGATAATGATGCACAAATCGTTTCTTTTTGTTGCAGTTCGGAAGGACTTGGTTTCTTGGGATTGGCTATTCCTCGAATGGAAAAAGCTAAGTCAATCAGAAACCTTGAAGTTGCAAGCAGCAGAAGAAGGGGTTCGACGCCCGAAAAGCACTCTATCGAAGGAATGAATCACATCACATTGTTTGCCTCAACTATAAAGGGAACATATGGGTGAGGTAGTTTCGAAGAGTAGCCTCCGTGCCTTTTTTTTTTCTTATCAGAATACGGATAAAATTAAAAGGTCATGACAATCGCCTAGGTTAGAACTAACCACAACAAGGCATGAAAATTAGAGTAGTAAAACTAACTAATATCACAACACAAGTTCAATAAATATAGTTAAAAATTATAAAATTTGTGGATTAAAATTAATATTCTCTTCTTACTTCCTAATTGAAAATAAATACAAGCTTAAACATCACAATGTCATTAGGAAAACAATCAATAATTAATTTTAACGACACATTTTATGGAATCCACAACTTTTCAACAACACATTTCATCGACTTTTTTAAAAATTTACTAAAAAATTGATTTTAATCTCTACCAAATATGAGTTTAGTAAGTTGACTACATTGAGGCTTACGAGTTTCTGTAATTATACATTAGAGTGCACCTTCGATCATTTTTGCGTTTGCCGGAGTTGAGTTTAGATTATGGAGTTTGGATTATCTTACGGTTGGAAAAAGTTTGTCGACTCAAAGGTATTAAGGTTAAGATCAAAAACTTGTGGTTGCTGTATAAGCCGCAAATCCCAAGAGTCCCACCGACACTACAAGTAATTATTTAGTCCTTGGTTGATTTTTATTATTTGAGAATTACTTCACTCCTAAACTCATTTTCAACTATATATTCTCTAAAACATAATTTTCACATTTTTTTTCACGACTTTTTCTTCTAATCTCTCTCTCACACACACACGCAACTTTTCAAAGAATCACTTCACAAAAAATCTTTATCAAACAAGCGCTCAGCGGGAATGGTTTCTTGTTTAACGTCTAAAACTTAGGATTCATTTGATTCAAAGATGGAATTTAGGTGGAAAGAAAATGAATTGCAGGGAATTGAATTGTCTAGAACTTGTTTTACTGAAAATTGTCAATTAATTGTATTTGATTGATATAATTTTTCATCTGAAAAACGTTGAATGTTGAAATTTTCTATTTTTTAGTATTCGTTTGACTTTATTTTTCATGAAAATTGTCAATTAAAGGGATAAAATTTCTTACGATTGAGGATATAATTTGTTTGGATTGTCCAAAAAAAAAAATTTGAAAATTTTTTTGTGTTTCGTTTGACTTTATTTTATATGAAAATTATCAATTAAATGGATAATTTTTTTTTACAATTGGGGATAAAATTTATTTCTATTGCAAAACAAAAAAAAAAAAAGGAAGAAGAAGATGAAGATGAAGATGAAGATGAAAATGAAAAACCAAAAACCACCTAAAATGTGGGAATTGAAATTCAACTAAAACCAAGTAAAGGAATTACGTGATGTCAAATGTAGAAAACATTTTCTTGGAAAAAAAAAAGTGTCATCAAATATGATAAAAGTAAAAAATGGAATTATTTTCCATGGAAAAAAAAAAGGGTCTATCAATCAGGACCTTAGATTCAATTTGACGATATTGTTACCTTCAATTTGACGATATTAAAGTAAAAATGAATTTTGGTTGTGCTTTCTTGAAAGATTACAATTTTTTTTTTTAAAATACGGTATTTCAAGTAGGGGTTTTAGCATACATCACTCTTTGAGTGATAAATAAAAGTTAATAATATTTTCTTACATGTAAAGGGCACCTTTTTCTAGTCTAGATTGACCAAAAATCGAATATTACTTACTAGGCAAAAGACTACCATATAACTTTCCCATTCGTATAAAGCAGATTACTTTCTTCTTTTTCTTTTAAAGGAAATTCCTTTATGAAATGGCAAAAGAAAAAGATTGGAATATGAAAGATGTAATACCATTTTCCTATAAATGAGGTTCATTCATTAAGCCCCTTATTGACAACATTATTTGGGGAAAACAGAGTTTTGAATAGTGATTTTTAAGAGAATGTGTGGTTAAAAAGTAGGAAAACAATTTTGAGTTTACGCGTAGAATATTTTATTGTGTGAACGCGTGATTGAAAATGAGTATTTAGAAAAAATAATTGTCAAACATGGGCTAATTTTAGTCAAACAAACTTCTTTATAGAGAGTTTCATTAAACTTTTGAGAATTTTCCAATATAGAGTTTGTATTGGGGAGACAGTTTTATAGGAAAGTTGAGACTTGTTTTATTTATTTATTTATTTATACTACATCATAATAATTGGTGTTGTAATTTATTTATTTATTTTAATTGTGTGTTTTCAATTATGTCTTGTACAATATTACAAATTTACAACCTAAGTGATAAATCATTTAATGTTTGGTTAGTAATTTTATTTCTTATATGTTTTAACTTCATACTTGACAACAATTTTTTTCCCATTTAGTGTTGACGGCTCGATGCGAAGGAATCAATAGCCACGGGAGGGATTCTAGTTCTGTTTGGTTATATCATTATTCACCAAACTCAACATCTCATGTAAAAATATTCAACCACTTAGTGTCACCCAGAAATTTGGGACTAGTCGATTCTAGTGCAGTTTGATTATATCATTATTCAAGGAACTCAACATCTCATGTATAAGATTTCCATTTTTAGACGATCCAATCCAGTTTTCAAAAAATGTTCATACCGTGTATAAAAATTTCGTTTTCAAACGGTTTAATCCAATTCTTGAAAAATGTAGATTCAACCATTAGAGCATCTCTCAGAAATTTTATTTATAAAGAACATTTTATGCATAATAGAGGCAATCTTTAGATTTAGAGGTTGAATTATTTTATACACTTCAATAATACTCTATATTTTTTATTGCTCAATCATTATTTTAGAATTAATTATAATAATTTAATAGACATTATAATTCATTATAATAATTAAATACACATTATAGCCCTTGTTTGATCCTTTTTTTTAAATTCATTTTTCTATTTTCTTTTCAACCACACATTCTCAATAAAATAAAATTATACCCAAATTCAATTTTTTTCCTTATTTTTTAACTACACATTCTCCATCAATCTATTATTCGAAAATGCATTCTACACGAAAAATGAGACTCAAACAGGCTATCCAAATAATAATATATCCCATGTCATTATGGTAGTATATACACCTATCTTTACTCTGTATGACAAAAAAAAATCACACAGGTGAACTCGTAGCATTAAAATTAATTTCTAAGAGTAAAAACGTCATCCTTGCTTTGCTTTTACGCAATTCTTTGAATTATTCCTTTTGAGCACATTTTTTAAATCTCATTTTTCCTTAAACTATTTTTCAATAAAATAATTTCAAAAAACTACATTTCACAAAAGTTCTAAATTTATTCTCATAAAATAGCCTCAAACAGGGACTTGGAATCATTGAAGTTGCCGATAAATCATACTGATGCCAAACGGGAAGAGAAAAAAGTGAAAATCTCCTCACATAAAATCCAACGGTAAACGAGCTTAGTGAGGAACATCAGAGCACGCCACAAATATTTTAACTAAGAAGTTGATTTATGGGGGGCAGCACCTTCAATAAGAATGATGACGAGGAGATTTAAAGTTCAGATTTTTATTTACCCTTACTCCAATATTCCATAGTTTCATCAGAAATGATGGCATACTTTCAGATAAAAGCAATAAAATAATTACAGATATTGTAGCAGTGGAATATTTTTTAACGGTCTGATGGGAGATTGTGGGACGGGAGGTGGAGGGCCTCGTGGGCTTGTTCAGTTAAAAGCAAAGATCGCCTTCTTTTTCTTCCCAGCATCACCACTCTTCACGTTACAGTTTTTTACCCTTCTTTTAGTGGATTTCAATTTCAAACCTTAATCTCCATTACTATTATTTAGGTCTCATTCCTTGCCCATATTCCACTGATAGGGGACTAGTGTTTTTTGAGTTTTCTCACTCCTCTTTATTTCAAATCATGCTTTTCATCTTCCTTTCTACTATCTAGTGATTTTGAACAAGGAAATAAGAAATGGGTTCATTTAGAAATACCAGAAAGACGGTTCTATTATGTCTTTTTCTTGCTGTTTTTCTTCCAGGGATTAGCGCATCTGTTTCTTCTAAGGTGTTGCTTCCTTTGCATAACAGTAATATATATATGTATGTTAACGGTTTATAAATTTTTTTTGTGAATAAATATGATTTGGGTGCAATGTTTTTTTCCAGTTGTATGTGGTGTATATGGGTAGCAAAAGTAGTAATGACCCAGATGAGATTTTGAGGGCAAACCACCAAATGCTCACTGCTATCCACAAGGGAAGGTCTATTTCTTGATCCTTATTCAACTGTGTCATTCTTTTTCAGAAGGGTTCACTTTATTTTTCTTCTGTCTACGGGTTTCTTGTTTTTGCTTTTAATTCTTGTCAGTTAATGATTTGCTATAAATGCGCAGTGATGAAGAAGCCAGGGCCTCTCATGTTTATAGTTATAGACATGGTTTCAGAGGATTTGCAGCCAAGTTGTCTGAAGAACAGGCCTCTGAAGTGGCTAGTAAGTCCATTACTTTTGCTAATGAATGCTACTTGTACTTCACCCATGTTGAGAAATGGAATGCTTCTGGACACTGTATTCAGAAAAGAAAAATAAGATTATACTAATCATACTATTGGATAAATTCAAACCAGAAATGCCAGGAGTGATATCAGTTTTTCCCAACAAAAGGAGGACGCTTCACACTACTCATTCTTGGGATTTCATGGGCTTAATTGGTGAAGAAACTATGGAAATCCCAGGTTATTCAACCAAGAATCAGGTTAATGTCATCATTGGTTTTATTGATACAGGTGATTACTTTGAAGCTTTGTCTACTTTGTTACTTTTCATCTTTTTGTCGGTGAAAGGTCATATCATAATTGAATTATTAACGAAGGATCATTTGGTGGCTGATGCAACTAGCTCTTACATTGATTGTATATGATTAAGGAAAAATTGAATTGTTGAAGATATTCCTTTACTTCTCTGTTTTGTGAACATCATGTTGTAGAGTAAATCTTACATGTTGTGTCAATCCTATTTTATTTTATTTTTATTTTTTTATGGCTTGACAATGGAAACAAATCCCTTACTAACTTGCAAAATTTTGCAACTTATTTTCATCAGTAGTCCGTCCATCATTATCCATGACATTGAGATTAATAATAATATTGAAAATGATTGGTTCTGATATGTGTTATTGACTGGTTAATAGATGGAGACTTGTAGCTTGCAAAAACCACATGCAATGAAAGAATAATGCTATTTAATTTGCCCAGGACTTCTCCTCTTCTCCGTTCTACTTCTATGCTATAATAGAATTCCAACGTTCCCTCTAAAAATAGTAACATCAAACGTGTTAAATATCTTGGGGACCATGATTGTACTACAAAACACTATCCTTCTTTACTCTCTTAACTTTTTTCCTCTCTCAAATAATTAGAAATTAATCTTCACATAAGACAATGTGTGACAGGAATTTGGCCAGAGTCCCCAAGTTTTAATGATGCCAACATGCCTCCGGTGCCAGCTGGATGGAAGGGACATTGCCAATCAGGAGAAGCATTCAACTCTTCGACATGTAACAGGTCAAAAACATTGTGGTCCTACTTTTTTAACAATTTCTTCAATTTCTGTTGATCATTTAATCGGCCCATATAACAGCTAAAGTTTGTCCTCTTGTAGGAAAGTGATCGGTGCAAGATATTATCTCAATGGCTATGAAGCTGAGGAAGAATTGGGAAATACTGTGTCATTCAAATCTCCAAGGGACAGCTCTGGTCATGGCAGTCACACAGCTTCAACTGCAGCGGGTCGTTATGTGATTAATATGAATTACAAGGGGTTGGCATCCGGTGGAGCCAGAGGAGGTGCACCTATGGCTAGGATAGCAGTATATAAGACTTGCTGGAGCTCTGGTTGCTATGATGTTGACTTGTTGGCTGCATTTGATGATGCTATTAGAGATGGAGTGCATATTGTGTCTCTGTCTTTGGGTCCCGATGCTCCACAGGGAGATTATTTCAATGATGCCATTTCTGTGGGATCATTTCATGCTGTTAGCCATGGAATTGTGGTTGTTGCTTCAGTTGGAAATGAAGGAAGTTCAGGGTCTGCAACAAATCTTGCTCCTTGGATGATCACTGTTGCAGCTAGTTCAACTGACAGGGAGTTCATGTCCGACATCATACTTGGAAACAGAGCTCACTTTATGGTAATCAGTTTATGCCTGCATAAGTAATAATTAAAAAAAAAAAAAATCGCTGATCCTTACTCAGGCTCCTATTATTGGATAGGGTGAAAGTCTGAGTCTACTTAAGATGAACGCCTCGACAAAGATCATCTCCGCTTCTAAAGCTTATGGAGGGTACTTCACTCCTTATCAATCCAGGTGAAGCAGAAGGTAGTTAACTTGTGTACAATCTGAATTTATGTATTCTACATTGAAATCTTATGTCACTTTTATATCTCATGATTGTCCCTTTAGTTACTGCTTGGATAGTTCTTTGAATAGAACAAAGGTGAGAGGCAATGTTCTAGTATGTCGACATGCTGGGAGCTCAACTGAGTCGAAGCTGGCAAAAAGTGCGGTAGTAAAAGAAGCTGGGGGAGTTGGGATGGTTCTTATAGATGAAACAGATAGGGATGTCGCCATTCCTTTTGTCATCCCAGCAGCAATTGTTGGCAGAAAAATAGGACATAGGATCCTTAATTACATAAATAATACAAGGTTCGTCACCTCAGTTGTTGCCAAGAACTTTTCTGTGTTCTTTTTTATTCTGCTTTCTCCCTTATTGCTGACTCGTTCACGTGGACAGTAATCCTACATCAAGGATATTATCTTCCAGGACTATATTAGGATCCCAAGCTGCTCCTCGAGTTGCGCCATTTTCTTCCAAAGGTCCCAATGTCTTAACCCCTGAAATTCTTAAGGTGATATAGTATAAACAATGGGGTAATCTTTTTATTTTTTTACATATTTACTTTTTTTAAATGTATCTTATTAAATAACATCTGCAGCTCGCAGATTTACTGGATTTTCATTTGTATTTTTCTTGTTGAAGCGACATGTTTGTTTACATTTTTCCACTACCTTTTTAAGTTTCATCGTCTCTAACCAATTAAGATTCCTGACTTGCATTATGTTTGCTAATTGATTGTGTTTGTAGCCCGATGTCACAGCACCTGGATTGAATATCCTGGCAGCCTGGTCTCCTGCAGCTAATAAAATGAATTTCAACATACTCTCTGGAACATCCATGGCTTGTCCCCACGTAACAGGAGTTGTAGCCTTGATAAAAGCTGTGCATCCATCTTGGTCTCCATCTGCAATCAAATCGTCCATTATGACTACTGGTATCTAATAAGTTTAAAATAGACAAAACTTCTCTAGCGTATATTTATATCATAGCTAAATGTGAAGTTTGATGCAGCTACTGTATTAGACAAGCACCGGAAGCCTATCACAGCAGGCCCGGATGGACGAAGAGCGAATGCTTTTGATTTAGGCTCTGGCTTTCTGAACCCAAGGAGAATTCTTGATCCTGGTCTTACATATGATGCAGCACCCACAGATTACAGGGCCTTTCTCTGTTCAATTGGTTATGATGAGAAATCAGTGAATTTGATCACAGGAGACAACAGCACTTGTAACCAATCTTTCCCAACAGCATCTGACCTTAATTATCCATCCATCACAGTTCCTAATCTGAGGAACACTTTTTCAATCACTCGTACAGTTACAAATGTCGGGAGGCCAAAGAGCATCTACAAATCAGTCGTGTTTCCTCCAACGGGGATAAATGTCACTGTAATACCCAAACGACTGATCTTTAATAGGTACAAGCAGAAGATCAACTTCACTGTAAATTTCAAGGTGACTGCCCCATCACAAAATTATGTTTTTGGATCCTTGTCGTGGAGGAGTAAAAAGTCGTGGGTAACTACCCCACTGGTTGTACGGGTTGCCAGGTCCAGGTCGAAGTCAGGTTTAATGTTATAAGCAGCAGTACACAATGTATGCAACCTTGGAGTTTTAGAATTGAGATAAAGATAGAACACAAAAATGAATATGCAGATTCCAAGTCGCAGTGTAGATTTATATCCATGTCTAGACATTAGAATCATTTATGTCGGATAAGCCTACAGTGAAGTATGAATACATAATTTTCAACCATTCCTTTACTTTATTATTAATGTTTGAGAAGAAAACATTCCATGGATCCTATTGCCAACTCACAGAGTACATAGTTGCTATTTCAAATTCAATATCACAGACAGCACAGATGTCTTTAAATAGTTGAATACTATAATAGAATAGCATTGCTTGCAAAATGGTTTGACAAAATCTATTTTTTGACAAGACATTGTACAGTACTGAATGATGTTAAGGTACTGCCAGTCCTGTCAGAGCAATGCGTAGCACACAACGACATAGAATGGAATGATAAATCATTGCAATCTTTGTCCCTGAGGCTGAATATCTGAAGGATCAATTAGGCCTACCAACACAACAAGCTCATCCAACAAAGATAGCTTCTCCTTCTCAAGGGCCATTATCTCATCTTCAACCTCTTTCAATTCTGATCCCATTCCAAAGCTTTCCTCTTCTAGTAGTAAATATTTTCGCCTCAAAGCCCGGTATTCATTTCCATATGTAGAAGAGTCTGGCAAAGAATCTGAGGTCGACCTCTCTTCTTGTCGGAACAATGGGGAAATATCATTCATCAGTACTTTTTTGGAGGCCTTCTGTCCTTTCTGGCTAGACCGGGCTCGTGCATCCTGAAGTCTTTTCTTACTATTCCCGGGTGCATTGAGCATTGCAGTCTCATGTGTTGAAGGTTTCTTTTTTCTTGGCTTACTAACCATGGCATCATTCGTTGGCAGCATTTTCTGCTCTTCCATTTCTCAATCAATTCGTGGATAACCATAAACACATGAATAGATGTGATAATATCCAATAAGATTCAACAAAAGAAAGAAGATGATCCTGCTTGACATCACAGCAGATTTTCTGAACAAACACCTGAACTGATACAGACTAAATATAACTCAAGGTGAGTTTGATATTGATTAATTATAATGCAACAATGATATCTGACAATCCTATAGCATTTCTTGGATTAACCCTCCACACCTCATCAACATGTTTCTTCTTTCCGTTCATATCACGCTTCCATTTTTTGCATGTTCTCCAAGCAAATCAAGAGTATGATCAAAGAAGCAAGAGTTCAAGCTAAAAAGGCATATGAACGAAAGAAATGGCAGTGATGCTAATGAATATCGTTCTAATGACGTACATTATCACACCTCTACAAGGAGATCGAACACTAGACATGGTATCTAGCAACATATCCACCTACTCTGTCATTCTATCAGCCAAAGATGCATGGCAATTACTAGAAAGATACATCATACATGCAAACGCAGCCGAAATCAAGAGATAAAGAAAAATAATCTTCCAAAAAAGAAAGAAGTTCATCCGGCATCCTTCCAACTTATTAAAATGTAAACGCGATTTCGGACTCCTGAGTTTTGCAGCTCAATCTCACTTGATTGGGTACAGCACTGTAAAGAATCATTCAGTTTCTTGTGTTCAATTCAAGCATCCAATGCAATTGCGAGACAACTCATACTCAAAAAAGTCAACTAAAAAATTCATCAAGATTCGTTTTCTTAAACATCAATTATCGTGATGTTCCTAAACTAGTTCTTTTCTCTAATGTATCTCAATGTTAACAAAGGAGATAGCCATGTAACTCGATCCAAACCCTTAGGGAAATTGAAAATTAATAATCGCACAAAGAGTCTCACCCGAAACATAAGAAAGCAAATTATGCAAAAAAAGAAGAAGTGAATTTCAAATTAAACAAGAAATAATAGTCAGATGCAAAAAGAAATTGTGGAATCAATTTAGTTCTTCTCTCACCAGTATTGCAGATTGATTAATTTGGTTCAATTTCAATGTGCGAAAAGGAAAATACTTCAGGCCTTCACAGATACTAGCTTCTCACAAAAACTGAATAAATTTCTTAATTTCTTTTTCAACACGGACCGTTTCTGTCTTTTCCTCGAATCGTCATTATTTTGTGGAGCAATTTGCAGTCAATAACTTTGGGAAAATTAAAGATTTATCCTTAACTTTACGAAATAAACACTTTTAAGTTTATAACCTTCCCAGTTCAGCATAAGATTCCCAAAACTCAATTATTTTTATTCAAAAGACCAGAGTAACTTTTTTTTTTTGCCAAATGGGAGAATTGTAGCCACGATACAAAATTTTTCATTTTGTCTCAAAGTTGATCCAAATCTTATATTTGTACCACCAGCTGTACCAAATCTTTAAAAAATTCGCACTTGCAGTACAAATTTTCATTTTCATCAGTTTGACCTAGTTGACCGGAATGTTGTAACTTGACTTATTTTGATCAATTTTTGAAAGGATAACATGGAAATTTTACATTTTTCACAAAATTATAATTATAATAATTAAATAAAAAATTAGAAAAAAAAACCCACAACCCCCGTCTCTTTCTTCCCAACCTCACCTCCAAAACCAAAACCACGCACCTCCTTGCGTGAAAAATTAATAAGAGCGTTGCATGTTGCGGGATTTAGAGGTCATATAGGTCGAGATATGTTGATTAGCAGTTTCGATGATCATTACTATTGGCCGCAGTTAAAAAGGGATGCTGGCAGATTCGTGAGGAAGTGTCCAATTTGTCAAACGCAGAAGGAACAAGGGCAGAACACCGAGTTGTAAATGTCTTTGCCTTTTTCGGAGCGGCCTTGGGAGGATCTTTCCATGGACTGTATTGGGAGTGCCTTACACACAGAAAAATTCAGATTTTATTTTTGTTGTGGTAGACATGTTCTCTAAAATGACACATTTTATTCCTTGTTGTAACACCAGCTATGCACCACATGTGGCAAGGTTGTTCTTTCAAGAGATTGTCATACTAAATAAGGTCTCTCGATCTATCACTTCATATTGAGATCTCAAGTTCTTAGTGTGGGATAAAATAAAGGTGAATCAAAGTAGATAATCAAACCGAAGGCCCGTGTTCACACGATTTCTTTAAATCGAATTCGCCGCCTCACCGGAGTGCACGAGGTTTTTGATCGGTATTCGATTCCTATGATACAATCGGTTATCAGTCCACGTTGTACTACGTTACCGACCTACGAACCAGCTATGTCTATTTCTCAAACGAATCAAGCAAAGGAAAAATCAACCAAGCTGCCGGAAGTGAAAAGGAGGAAACTGTAGGTTTTCTTCTTTGGTTGTGTTTGTGGTTTGAAACACTTGTTGTTGTGTATTCCTCCAACTATAAGCTCCTCTATTTATACTAGTGGAGGAAGAGCCATCACATTAATGCATTGAATGAGAAGTTGAAAAATTGAAGAGATGAACGTTCATGAAATTGATTTCCATTAAAACTGATTTTCATGACAGATGAACGGACATATTTTCATTCACTATGTGAAATTGAAACTGAAGATGGAAGGCAGCACTTAAGGCTGAAACTGAAACTGAAGAAAGGCAGCATAAGGCTGAAACTGAAACTGAAGAATGATTTCAGTTTCCAACACTTAGCTTACATCAATTGACTTCATGGATGAAGTTTGGGACAAAATTGCGACTTAGCAGCATTGCGAATCCTCAAACCGATGGAGAAACTAAAATGGTTAACATATGCTTAGGAAATCTGTTAAGGTGCATCTATGGTGAGAAAAAGAAATAGTGGGATCTTGCATTGGCACATGCAGAATTTACATATAATAGTGCAGTTCATTCTTCGACGAGTAAATCACCTTTTGATATTATTTATAAGAGGACTCCAGAAAAAGCAATGAACTCGGTTATAACTTCCAAACTCTATGAAAAAGAGTGTAGCAGCCGAACAACTAGTTGAACAACACGTGGAGGTGATTAAACTGGTGAAGAAAAAGTTAGAAGTTGCCAATGCAAAGTTAAAGTTGCTGCTAATACACATAGGTGTCATAAAACGTTTTAGGTAGGTGATATGGTTATGGTGTTCTTAAGAAAAGAGCATGGTGGAAGTTAGAAGTATAGGCCTTTCAAGATTCTAAAAAAGATCAAGACAATGCATGTGTCTTTGATCATCCTGATCATATGAAGATTTCTAAGCCATTTAATGTTGCAAATCTTTATGAGTATGTTTCAGACAATGATGAGTCTCTGTATCTTGATGACAACTCAAGGTCGAGTTGTTTTGAAGTGGAAGGGAATGATGCACATCAATTAGAAGGAAAAAAAAAATCCTAAAACAATTAGAAAAGCAAAGCAATAAGAAGGATGTACGAAAATGTACATAACTTTCAGCTCGAGTGTCGAATTTTCTTCTGTGAATACAACTTGAAAGGGTTTTTCGATTGTACACATTTTTGGAGATGACAATTTCGACCAACATTATCAAATTTCTGGGTTAAATTCCATCATTTAGAGCTTTGTCTTAGCGTTCTTCTGTTTTGAGTCAGTTTAAGAGTATTTTAGCCTCTTTTTTTTAGTATATTAGTTTTATTCAGATTTGTTTTACGATTTCCTAATTTATTTGGATTATCTATAGAATTAGATTTTCAATATAATTACTATTCATTTTGAGTCTTTAAATATGTATTTCATCAATTTCAAATATTTATTACGTTCGTTTGAGTGAAATTCGAGCAAATACCCGTTCATGTTTTACAAACAAGAACATTTTATTATTATTCACGTTTCCGGCTTGCATCACTCATTACAATTGCTCCCCATTCTCCGCTAACAGCTAGCATTTCCTACATTCTCATCACCATTTCCCCACCACAACTCTTCATATGCAATAGCGGCACCAACAGGGTAGGCCATGTCTGTATTCAGCTTGAATCTCCTCCATCTTCTGTGGCAATGCTTGTTGAATGATGAAGGTCAACCTGATTAGCTGGCAAATGACCCGTCCATACAGTCACCAGCTCAATTGATGTCAGCATCCAGTTGCGATTCTACAACGAGAGAAAAATCTAGAAGCAAAGAACTCTAGACTAGAAGTTTTGTCTTGCCGGCATTTTGTTATACACAGTCATTTTCTATTCTCTCTTTTTTTGTAACAGTCTCTCCTTTTCTTACACATAGCATTGTAAAGCTATGTAAGTTGTGAAGCCTTTTATAAGAAAATACAATTCATACATAAATGTCTCTGCAATTTTTACTATGCAATTTTTTCCTATTTTGTTACAAAGCTACCCACACGAGTCACCCCCGATGCCCCAACATTGCACACCTCGTTATTGTGTTTGAGATGTCGCAATAGCTTGACCCAATGGTCATCAAAATGGTGTTTTTGGGGCTCAGTTTCACGTTACCTCTCTACCAAACAACCAATTCAAATGGCTCAAACCCACAACCAATATATTCACCTTGATTGCTCCTCAATCTCACTCACAATGGACAAGATAATGGTGATGATTTGTAAACCACAAAGACACGAGAAAAACAATAGAAGAAACACGAGATCGAGACCAAAAAATGAAGAAAGCGAGTGCCGATTTTTGGAACTCAAAGCAACCATTTTTCTCTCCAATTCTGCATTCACGTTTTTCTCCTTTCACAACACAAATCACACACAAAAAGGTTAGGGCAAAGACACCATATATATATGGTGCGTTAGATTTTAGTTTGACCGATAAAAGAGATTAAACGGGCCAAAATTCAAAGTCATCCAAGAGGCAATATATACGAGTCATGAGCAACATTAATTGTTTAAGTTACTTCCAACGACCCACATTGTTTTCGGGTTGAGCCTTTGAATTTGGCTATTGGTAATAATTTAATCCAATGTTTACATCATAGTCCGGGATTCATTGGGTATTAAAACCTAACAAATCTCCATCTTGATACCCAATCA